TTCATTAAGGACCCCGGGATGTGAATTTAGATCGCTTAGTAGAATGTTCCACATTGTCTGCCAGTTGATTTAATACATAAAAGCATGTTCTTCGTATGAAGTTGGCGAAACAAGAATATCAACGTTTTAAGTCATCATTTAGCAAGGTCTATGGTTGACACAAGACCTTGTCAACACATACAAGCTATCATTGCATTCAATTCTAAGTAATGTTTTCATACTAACTGTTAGACTATTTTGCCGTTTTCCCGATCATGAAAAGGAGTACACGGCAGATTAACCGGTCGGCGAGTGATGTTCACTCCTCCATTGCATATAATCCTACCTCTGATATGTTTAAATTAGAGGTCATTGTTTCCTCTGCTGTTGGTTTGTTTTGTTTGAATAGATATTTGATTGAACTTGAATACTATTCTAAATTTCTGTATTTACGACTTCAACCCTAAGACTTTATTGAACCCTGAAACCAGGGGCAATAAATATCTCGTCGAAGTTCTCTAATACATATGTATTACAAAGATACAAACAGTTTCACTTCCATGTGTGTACATAAAGCAGAGAGAGAGAGAGTGAGAGAGAAATCTTGACATCTTTGTAAAGACAGAAGTAGTTACTTTAGTTCAATAATGCTGTTATTTTAATCATGCGAGAGCATGGCTTATAGATGTCCACAATTTTTCCTCGATATACAGACTCTTTGTTGTTGTTGTTGTTGTTGCTGTATTGTCTCTTTTTGTCACGGAATTTTAATGAGATGTTGTATATAATGTGTGTAAAACTCTATATATTAATTAAATGTATGTGTAACTCTAGTTATTGTATATTTATGTTTAGCTCAGATTTTTGTATATAATTTATCTATAAAATATCATTTATGATTTTTGTATTATATTATTGCAGCCCTGAGGACCTGGCTGCTCTGTACATATAAGTTTAAGTGTTGGTATATGGGGATTGAGGTGGGAGAAGTTATTTAGAATTAAAGGTTTTCTAAACATTAAAAAGATTGTTAATCAGAATGTTCTTTCCCTTTATAAATATAATTAGATACACAATATATTTACTTTCATATTATGAATCTGTAAAAATATATAAGTTTTTCATATTTAATACATAAAGTTGCTTATCATTTACTATCGAAAAACGACAGGTCCCTTTTTCAGAACAGCGAATTATACTGATCGCATAAAAACGTACTTGACACAGTTCATGTTTTATATTCTTAAAGTGATATACATGTTTGAAAATAGGTGATACATGTGTCTGGTTTCATATATATTTTATGCAGCCAACACTTACTTGAGGAATTGATAAAGTTTAATAGGGCATCGTTTTTGTTCGATTTTTATCCGACTATAAGTTTTTAAAATATTCTCGATTATTATCTCCATCATTTACACGCATGTCTTTTTCACATATCTCGAAGCGGTTTGATGATCAAGACTCATTTTCATTGTTTACTTTATTTATTTCCCGGGCGACAATTGATTGTTACATCAATGTTTTCTTGTTACATATACATGTATGTTTAAATAAGAAATTGTATAATACATTTGTATATTATTTTCTAATGTGTTCCAAGCTCTCTGGTTAGCTAAACCTTGATAGCATGATCAAGTATATAACAGCATATGTATAGACTTGAGTTACTATTTAAAGATTCTAAATTGCATATCGACTTTAAAATGCTTTTAAAACTGGAAATAATTTTCTGTAAAACAACAATAGTGCTGAATTCAAAATAGCCAAGACAGAGTATGACTTGATTAAAAAAAATCAAAGTACTCAGAAGTACAGAGAGCCGGGCTCATTTACAGAGTAGAATGAATTTCTTACATGAATCACGTTTATATTCTGATGAAAAAATTATTTTAAAACTATCAATGTAAATGATAAGACACTGACAGTGAGTTTTTCAATCCTAATACCACGGTCCGATTTTGTCAGAATCAGAATTAATCTGGTACCGCAGCTGAATGTAAACAAACAGGCCAGTCTGGTTCCCTCTCCTGCTTTTCCTCGTATGTGTAGAGAACTACGATAACACTGATTATCAAAAATCCTTACGCTAATGAACTATGTTCTTTGACTTAGGACTGAAGTTTTCAAAGTCATTACTACTAATGTTTATTTATATAGATAAAACTTCGTTTTATTTTGGTTGCTTTATTTAGCGTTTGTAATATCTCAAAAGCGGTTGAGAGTAAGAACTATATTTTTGTACGTAACTTTAAAATGGCGACTATGGGTTGACTTCCTGCCTTGAACAGGATGACATAAGCCGGCAATTGCTCTTTGAGCGATAAGCCCGGCTAATTATACTTCAACTTCTATTTATAATCATAATGTTCTGTAATAATAAGGACTTGTAAGACATAAAAGACCTTGAAGAAGGATCTACTTTATATTTAAACATCATAGATATATTTTTCAAAAATCGATACAAAACTTGTATCACATTACATTAAATAGATAAATTTATTTTTATCTTTAGTCTGCGTAGTTTCTATGTGTTAAAAAGAAGACAGGTGGGAAAACTTGTGGTAGATTTGTCAATATCTGTAATAAAAAAAAATAACATGACAGATGTGGCCTTTTGATGTGGTCAATCCATAGATATATCGACTTCACAGAAGAGCATAACTGTGGATCAATCTCATCAAAGGGCTATATTTATAATATGATTTAAATTTGTATCCTTGAATCCATATGTGTATAGTATATGATGTGCAGGAATGTCTCTTTTTTTGGATAGTAATTATGTTTGTAAAGTCCTTTAGTTTTAGAATCCAACTTTGTTCTAAGCAACTTGAGTATTTTTAGAACAATATATCTGAGGGTTCTCCTTCACAGCAGGTAATATTTTGGTGGGGAGTAGGGAAGGATATCTAGATGACGAACAGTATTCAATCTCAAAGTCCATAAAACAATACAAAATAGGAGCAAAGCAAACACGGACCTCCGAAACATCAGAGGTGGGATCAGGTGCCATGGTGGAGTGAGCATCCCCTGCTGCCGATCACACTCGCCGAGTGTTCCTTGTCATGATCGAGAAATAACGGAAAATTCCGTCGTCAATTCAGTATATATATAAATGGACTAACAATTAGTATGAAAAACGTCAGTCAGCATTTGACTCAATGATACATTGTATTTGCTGACAAGGTCATTGTCTCGACCATAGAACTTACGAAATGATGATTTTAAACGAGACTGCTCATGTTCTTGTTTCATCAACTTGCTTGTCAATAATTTACCTCGTTTTAGAAATTTTTCATACGTAGAGCATGCTCTTGCGTATCGAATCAACTTAGATATATATACTCCGCATGCCTGTGATGAAGGTATATTGCTGCATAAGTAAGGGAAGTTGACGATAGAAAAGTTAAAATCATCAAGTTTATCAAAAAGCTTGGTTGTTAGATTACCTACCATTAACGTCTTTTTTTCAAGTAAAATATCCAAGTATGAAACAGATGTGTCAGACTCTGTGGTATCTTTTATCTCAAACTCACCAGGATATATCGTATCGACGTAGGAATGGAAATTACTATTGTTGATTGACAATACGTCGTCGATATATCCAAATGTCGAGTTGAAGGCCACAGTAAGTCTTTTCTTCTTTTCACACATAAGATTTCTGACAGAGTGTTTAGGTCTTTTCTTCATATATTAGCTCATCATCTAGCATATTCATTGACGGAAATCATTATTAGAGATGTTGTATTTAGAAAATCTGGGCTCTCCCTAAAGATGAATTTTTTTTGTGGAATCAAAAAGTTCAATTTTAAAACTATGCTCTCTTGATGAGTCTACTTGAGAAATAAAAATTACTAACATTGAACAAAAAGTTTTTCAATTTTCAGTAACCCTGGAGACACCTTATGTGGATATTGATATTAAGTAATATTATTTTAATCATATATTCCAAGCTCTCTGATTGGCTTAAACTTGGTAACATGATTTAATATATGACAGTATATAGACTTGAGTTACTATTTATAGAATCTGAAAGGCTAATCGATTTGATGTTTCTTAAAATAAAGGCAATTTTCTGTAAAACAAAAAATTAATAGGAAAGATTTCACAGTTATAGCTGATACAGTATATTACTTGATGTTTCTGAAAAAATAGATATATATTCCTCCATTTATAAATAAATTTGTAATGTTCTGTAACTCGTAAGACGTAACAATGGCCTGAATTAGGATCTACTTAATATTAGAACATATTGAATATCTTTGTCAAAATTGACACAAAACATAATCAAAAAGATGTACATTTGTAGTATTTTCAATTAGTAAATCCTCTAAATTATGTTAAAATCTAAAAATGTCAAAGAAAGTTTAACACAGTTATATTAAACAATTTAATTTATTTTGATTTCTAGTCTCTAAGTGTTTAAGAGAGAAAACTTGTGGTTTGTTCCCATTTTTTCAAATTGTTTTTTTATCAACCTCTGTTAAAAAATAAAATAACAAATGTAGCCCTTTATTCCGGTCAATCCATAGATATATCGACTTCACAGAAAAGCATATCGACAGAGCACTTCGTGCTCGGTCGATATGCTTTTCTATGAAGTCGATATATCTATGGATCGACCTCATCAAAGACTATATTTATATAATAGTCATTGCAATACTTCTGTATAAAATCCGTTAAACAGAATGTTGCTGTGTATTCTCTCTTTTTGCTGAAAGTTATATTCAAATCTGAACAAATTTTTGTAAGGTTTTGAGTGAATTTCACAGAAGTTTTTAGTAACCCTTGCAACTCCGTTAGTCGAAAAAAAATCCTAGACCAGAATCATGTACCTAATATTATTTTTGTGTATCACGTTTTATTGAAAGTTGTCTAAAACTGTAGGAAGAATAGAGTCATGAACGATTTTCAATGTTTATAATCGTAAAAACACCAGCCGTCTATTTCAAAATTCGATTAAAGTAATTATGTACCTGATAAAGTCCCCCATGTGGACAAACATTTATCGAAAACCCCTTTTGTACTACATCGGTTTTGAATTCATAGCTTTTATTGGACGTTTTATCTCCATATTAAGTTAACACAACCTGAGGGGGTACTTAAGATAATTTATTTTTGCGACAGATCGCCTAAAACATCACATTGTAACGTATTTCCAGGATACTTTATTATAACAGAAGTGATTATTAGCCAATGACTGCACTGCACTGCATATTGTTCATTTGTCGTATAATGTGATAGACATGATATGGTGTACGTGAAATCAACATCTAACAGGTTTCACCACTGACAGCATGTCCAAATCAGGTAAGCTCAGTCCTGTTTAAACACCCTCTCCAACATTTCTGCAATGGGTATCTCACTTTTGCTATGAGTTGTAGAAATTGTTATATAATTGTTAATTACAGTTGTCATTAATTAAGGAGTTGCTATTTGATTACAATATGAAGTCTTGAATTTCAGCCTCTAAGAATGGCTACGACCGAGTGCCTCTGGTTTCTGCGACTCATTCTGACTCTGAAGACGACACTGGACCGGTTTCTTATATAGCACTCAACAAAAGATACCGCCAAAGATCCCGACAGAAGCCCCTTATAGTGGTGGGTTTCTTCATAATAATAATGCTTCTGTCGGTTATCGCCGCTATGTGTTATGTGTTAGTGCGGCGATCTGACACCACCAGCGGTGCCATTACCACGCCGACAGGTGCCAAATTTGATAAGTCCGGACAAGAGGCAGAAATCGCCACAACAAAACGAGCTGACGAAAATCTAAAACCACAGACTCCGAATTGGAAGGTTACCTTTAAGGAACTTGGTATGTACATGCGTTGATAAACAGTGAAAACTGTCCAATTCGTCACCTGTGTAATACGCCACACTGTGAATTCCGACATTAAATTTCTTTCCCGGCGTGTAACATTTTCCATGATTTTACACTGTACAATCCGACACCCTGTCTATTCCGACACAAAATTTGTCTCCCAGTGCATGCAGGATTAGACAGGTTTCACTGTATATGTTGAATAAATCCGCTCCTTATTGCGATACTTTTAAATTTGGGGGACATTTTACATGAACGTAAAAATGACATATTGTTAATGCCTGGTAAAGAAAACCAATATGTCCAGTCTTAGTCTGGTAAAATTTTACCGCATTCTGTATGGTAATGCAAAACAGACCATGCACAATTTTAAAAACAGGTTGTTTTTCTCGAATAATCCCTATTTTATGTATTAACTTCACTCAAAAAGGAATTTTTGATTAAGAGGTCACTAGCCCCTTCACGGTAACTGTGGTACTACTCTTTTGCAGGGCAAAATAATAACGTTTGGCGAAGTTTTCACCATACTATATCATTAATAATACTGACCTGGTCATTATATCCCACGTGCAATGGTTCCTAGGTCATTATTGCTGTAAACAGTACCATTTGGAGTCATTGTTGTGTTTTAAAGTTTTCTTACCAGCCAATCAAATTCGAGTATTCTCAGTAGAGGTATAAATACCGGTAATTAACACGTTTAATGTGCCAATTCATAAAAACCCAACAAAAAAATGAAATGATTGATCGTTAAAATGTTTTAATGTATTAGATACCATATGTTTAATTTTCATTTAATAGTATTGATTTTTATCCCTTGAAAACAATTTTTTAAGAAAGATAACTCTGCTATTGGTCGTTCAAGTTAGCTCAGTCGGTAGAGCGCTCGCTTTGTGATCGGGAGGTCGTGAATTCGAATCTCGGCCGTAATTGACCTATGTCGAGAAAATACTTCTTCGCCAAGCGCTCGGCGCTTGAAGTGAAAGTTGCGGATCCTTCGTACGAGACCTTAAAACCATGGTCGATCCCTTGTTATGCCAGCCGTTGGCGCAATAAAGAACCCTCTCTGCTCAATGACTATGAGCGCCTAGCAAAGTTCAAAATTTAAAGTCCTTCACCGGCATATGGTGACGTCTGTACTTATATTTTGACCTTCTGACATTCCGTTCTCTTATAGGACTTAAGGTAAATATTATTTTCATATATACCTCATATTTTTAATTTTATGTTCTGAAAAGTAAATGTACAATATACATTAAAACAAAACCTGCCAAAAGTACAATAGAAGAAATAAGTAACATGAGTTCACCATCAACGCCACCAAGATATTTTCAATGCATATTTGAAAATATTCAGTTGTATTTATTTTTATAGGTACAGAGAGCGTGATGAGGCTGATCGATATTGATGGCGACGGATTACAAGACGTAGTTTTTGGTGCCGCGTCCACTGCGGATCTCGAAGCCATAATTAAAATAGACTCAAACGGAAGTTTGTGGGCATTCTGTAATGCATCAGGTTAGAGCGTTAGATGAATAAAATCACACGAAACTCATGATACGCATTTGTGAAAGAAAACATCCGATCTAAGACATGGCTGGGGAGGGTTATCATTTAGCAGATGGGCTGTTGTTTTACAGAGCCGATCGTTAGCTTTCCAGTTAGCGAGTTAAATTTTCATCAAGTACAATTTTTAAGACTAAAATAAGTATATTTTATTTGACAAACCACGAATAACATTTGTTAAAAAAATTATTATATCCAGAAACCTTCTAATATTAATAGGAAGGATATATCCATGTATTGGGACTCTTATTGGAATGAGGGGATATGACGGAAATGTTCTATGGAAAGTTCCCACAAGATCCGGGGCAATGCTAAACAATTGTGAAGATTTCGATCTAAATTTAGACGGGAACATAGATTGTGTCATTGGAGGGCGCAGTGCCATGATGGAGGCCGTGGACGTCAGGAATGGTAAGTTACCCCCCTCCAAAACCCAACTGTTTGGTCATTTGAAGGGGCCAATACACATGACTACATTCTATATAAAAGATATGAAAAAAAACTTTTTTCACCTGATTGAACGATTAACCAAAGAAATTCTCCTAAGGAAAACATCTCTGGGAGGCAAGTTCGCCATTTTTTAAGAAGAAGTGGAATTTCTACCAAGCAATGGCACTGCCCGATTTTAATGGAGACGGTGTCAAAGAGATATTGGTGATGCATGGCGGGGATCCCAGTATAGAATCTGATGTAAGAATTACAAATCAGCGTAGGTCATAAAAAACCGAGTTTGATAAGTCAATATTTCCATTTCTAATTTTTTTCTCTGTGATAACTCTTTGAAAGTTATCGTAGTTGATTTCTTGATAATTCTACTGGAATGTAAATTAGGCAGGTCGATAGGTCAGGAGTGTAGGAGGCTTCATATGCATGCAAATCTTGAGCGCATCTGTCTCTATGTCTGACGCTAGAAGGCCAAATATGCATGTAAATCCCGTGCGGCTGCCTTAGCGTTTGACGTCAGTAGCCGAGGACTATTGAAATCTTTACATTTTATTTCACAATGAAATGGAAATATAAGGAATCACAGTCTAGTTAGTATAGTATGCCAAGGACATCAAGGATAGTGGGAAACATGAGATAATGGAAATTATCCCATGTTTCCCACTATCGTTGATGCCCTGGCATACTATACTAACTAGACAGTGATTCCTCAAATGAAATACACCAGAAGTGTACAGGAATAACTTTAGTATGTCGTTTTATAAGTTTCCTATAGAGGTACCCATAAATAGGCAAACAAACAAGCAAATTCAAAGAATTGTGGTCCCCTGCTTTCGGTGTCTTTGTGGGTGAGATGTCATTTTTTATGACATATTGTCTTAAATATGAAAACCTTATAATATGTCATTTAGAAATTTAAAAATTAATCCTGAAGGTCAAGGTCAATAGGTCACAAATCATGCTTGGAAATAGTTTGTCACAGGTAATGAACATGTCAAATATGAAAGTCATGATATCTCTTCTCAATATAAAGAACAAGATGTGTTTCTGAAACACTGAGGACCAATAATGGCAACATTGCGAAGATTAAACTTTTCTTAAATGCAAATTGAATATATTATTACCCCAAAAACTAAATGTTATTAATAGTAGTTGAAACTCCAAGGTCAAGATCATTCTTGAAATCCAGTGAAAGGTCTTGTCACAAGGTTTAAATATGTGAAACATGAAAGCCTTAGCCCTAACCTTTATAAGTTATGGTCAAGATTTGTTTTTTAAAAGTAAGCTAAACTTCAGGGTCAAAGGGTCGTAGTTCTTTGTATCCAATGAAAGGTCTTCTCACAAGAATTACTTATGTGAATTATGAAAGCCCAATCCCTTACCGTTCAAAGGTTATGGCCAAGGTTAAAGTTTTTTCACAAGAAACAGAAATTCCCAGGTCAACGTCAATAGGTCAAGGTTGTTGGTATCCAGTGAAAGGCCTTGCTACTAGTATGTGAAGTATGAAAGTCCTAGTTTGTACCATTCAAAAGTTATGGCCAAAGTAAAAGTTCGGAATTTTGGTGTAAAAGTGGGTTAAACTCCAAGGTTAAAAGGTCAAATTTGGTGGTATCCAAAGAAAGGACTTGTCACAAGGAATACACATGTGAAATATGAAAGTCATAGCTTTACTTAATCAAAAGTTATGGGCAAGGTTAAAGTTTTTGTGACGGACGGACAGACTGACGGACAGACGGAGAGACGGACAGGAGAATGAGATTTAATGTCTCTTCGCTTTCGCGAAAGCGGGGGATAATAAAGTAGATTAGCAATAAAGTTTTTTTTTATTCACACAACATACAGCATTATATACACATTTCAAAGGAAACAATGATGTGTGTTTCTTTATTTTAAGAGAGAGAAAAAGAGAGAGAGTAAAGGTTCAAGTTGAGAGAACAGCAGTGTTGCAACCACTGTTGAAATAACGACCACTATTGAAATAATTATTTCAATAGTGGTTGAGAGTGTATTTCAATAACAAACACCTGTTGCAACCCCTATTGAAATTCGACCACTAGTCCAAAATAAAAAATACCTTTGTTTCCCCTAACGCGACCGACCAAATTAAATCGCACCGACTGAAAAGATTTTTTGAATAAGATCACTCAAATATTTTTTTATTGTTAACCAAGTTTTATAAAATACTAGGGATGTCAACGAGTACCCGGTTAACCGGGTACTCGATCGAACGTCCGAGTATCGAATACTAAAATCGGTACTCGGTTACTCGGATGTATATTTTTAAATATTTCTAAGCTTATTTATTAATGCATTAAAACATCGGTTTTAAAACGTAAAATGTTCATTGCACTTGTACATTCAGTAATTAGGGTTTCCTATGCCTCTAAATGACCGTTATCGCCTGTGGCAATGTTTATACAGTAATTATCGTGACCAAACACCTGATGTACCTACCCGGGCTTTTCTCACCTTCGACTGTCGTCTTCCCTTATATTTAGTTTGCTTTAATTATTTGTTTTCATTGAACATCGTTTAAGGTCCATTATATTTAAACAAATTAAATAATTTTGTCAATTCTCCAAGAAGCCGTAAATTCTTGGGAAAGAGACAGACGATATTGCACGTGCGATTGTTGATTTGGATGCATTTGATTACATGCCAATTAATGCAAATGCTTTAAAAATCTTATGTCCATCGTTGCTCTAAACTACAACATACCGTATCGTAATTCTATGAAATCTAGGATCAAAAAGTGTACGAAGATCGTATAAATCCGCTCTGTTATAGGATAACTTGATCAAGTTTATACCGTACATATAGCTCAGACAACTTATCACTTGGACATCAAACGCACCAAAGAGTTACATTACAGTTACGGAACAGATTATTTTTTAAACAAAAACACTGTGAACCATTTCTGATTTTATTTCTCGTATTTGTCTGATAAATAACTTGAACTTAAAAAAATGTTAGATTAAATTTCGTCGGTTACAAAGTGGACATAATTGTTACAACGCATTTGCAGGTAACCTCCCATCGGTTTTATTTTTACAAGAGTTTGAAATGTTTTACAGTTATCAATTAACTTGTTCATATTTATTTACACTTTTACCGAGTACCCGGGTACTCGATCGGAAAAACGTCCGAGTAACCGAGTATTTAAAATTGACCGATTTGACATCCCTATAAAATACAATTTCATTAAAATCAGTTTTTTAAAAAAACGTCCGACATTGTTCTACTGTGATTTTGAAGCATTTGTTGGAAACAAAATGACATCCAGATGTGATTACACGGCATTAGCTCTTCATTAAACAATGGCGATATCTCAATCTTATGCTTTTAAGCTAATTTGAATTATTCACTCTTGAAACATTTCGATAATAAAATTTACCATGACTAATTAAGAGTGTTTCGGAGGTGTCTTTGCGTCTCCATGTGAGTGAATAAATTTTCGAAAGTGACGTTAAACAACAAACAAACCTGTCTTTGAATTCAAGGTACGTAATAATACATCGTATGGCCCGCCTCATGAGTAGATGAGGGGCCCACCTAGTGAACACATCATTCAATTTCACTGCATTTTATTTAATTTGAGTTTTGATCTAATAACCAGTTCATCTATGTTCCTATGTTTACTATATGCCATTATGGAACCATAGGAGCTGTTGTAAATTAGTCTGCATATTCATCCTGATAAATAAAATTCAGTTGTTCTTTCTTCATGCCTTTATTTAGTGGTTAAACTTCGTGACTATGACAATGTATATAGCATTTTTATCATTTGTAGATTCGGTTTGGTTCAATTAAATATTGTTAAAATACTCTTTCCAAATAGTTTTGGAGTCATGATTCAGCTTCCCGAGACGTCCAGGGTATTTTTCTATTACATGTAGGCCTTTGAACATTGGTTGTTTCTATGCTTTTAATCCCTACGAGATTTCTTAGGACGGCATTTAAACATTTCCACATTGCTCCAAATTTAGACTTACTCAACACTTTTTTGCCATTAAGCAGTGGGGGATCTTTTTTGAGCAAGCATCTTCTGCGACACTGGACTTAAAGTTTTTATGGTCCCCTTTGAGGGACCGTTTTCAACGTTACTCATTGGAATTTGATCCTGCGATTTAAAATTATCCACTTACTTCTTAACTCCAAAGCAAAATGCTCTGAACCACTGCAAATATCATGGCCCACAAAAAAGTACATTGATCGTCTATAACCTCTGAAGGCTGATGGAAGGTTTGAAAAAATATACTCGTATGTCTGGTCTCTGCGTATTTGAGAATTTTGTCTATTTCATTCAATTTATATAAATGTAATGGCATGAGTATTTCACAAGTTCAACTAAATAACAGTTGTGAATTAATTAATCATGAATTTTGCTTTTAAACGGCAAATGTACGATGCTTAGTATTTTGTTCACAAATCGCTTTCTTTTGTACTTTTCATATTTATAAAGGTAATTTTCCATTTAATTTTCGAATGTATATTCAAAGCTGCTGTCAGAAAATAAAATTGTTTACCTACCTACCGACCCAACTTGAGAATTAAGGGTCGGGTTAGGGGAAACAAAGATATTTTTAATTCCGGCCCTATTGAAATGATCAATAGTGGTTGAAAGTGCTTTTCAATACCAAACATAGGTTTGCAACCACTATTGAAATAATGTTCACATTTGAAATAAATATTTCAATAGTGATTAACATATAGATTTCAAAAGTGATTGAAATGCTGATTTCATTAGTGCTTTAAACAATGATTCCAATAGATATTAAAATAATTAATAGTTACTGACAATGATTTTAATATCAAAACCACATTGCAAGCTCTATAGAAGTATCCCAAATATCAAAACAAAAATAAGGTTGAATTACATATTCTGTTAAAAATATTATAACTAAAGTTGTTTTGTGTTCCTTTTTTGAAGAAATTTCAATTAGTGCACGGACACTATTATTATACTGACCTACAGTAGGCAAATGTTATAAGCAAGCTCCTGCTGAATTTTGCCGAATCGGCGAAAAACAATTAATACTCGTATATGCAATTTTGAAATAATTTCTTATGCATTCCAAACCACTATTGAAATAATTATTGTCCCCCGCTTTCGCGAAAGCGAGGGGACATTAAATCTCATTCGTCTGCCCGTCTGTCTGTCCGTCACTCTGTCCGTCCGTCACAAAAACTTGAACCTTGCCCATTACTTTTGATTTAGTGGAGCTATGACTTTCATATTTCATATG